GGACATGCCTGCATTTTAAAAGGTGTGGACTCGCCTAAACTAAGAGACAGCTCAACTAAACTTTTGCACAAACATCCAATGTAAATTGTAATGTAGAATTTTGCATATCACAGCTGAAACACCAACAGGGCTTATTATCAGAAAACTGCTCGATGACTTGGTGCTGTTGTCAGCGTAACACCGTGGTCATCACAGAAGCTGTGACATCAACCCAGCTCTGCAACCATTTTTACTCATATTGAAACTACTGCAGTCTACTCCTAAACCACTGTCGCTATTCAGGAAAAAGAAAGAAAAATAATATATCAGTGCTTAACCATGAAACAGTAATACAGAAAGTTTAAACTTCTCATCTTTTCCAACCTTTGCAGTTACATCGCTGTGTCATCTGGCTTCCTAAACTGCACCAACTCACACGCTCGAGCCTCAAGCCTCCACTGCGAGCACCAGATTACAAAAATATTGTGAGGTTTAAACCCTCTGTAATTGTCACTTTATCAGCTGATATGTAGTCACTGCATGTTTGTTGTAGTCAAAACATTTAGATTAAGTTGGTGCACCTAATAAACTGCAAACTGAACTCATGTTTTGGACTAATTCACTTCCTGAAAACCTCACCTTGCACCACCTCATCTTGGCGATGGAGTATAGGCCGTCCTACCCGAGCCATCTCCTTTTCAGGGGGCAGATACGTTCGCTCTTCTGTGAACGAATACGACAGGTTCCCAGCATGCACCTGTCGCAGCTGCTCAAAGTCACTGAGGGCAGCAGTGAAATCCCAGTTCTTGCCTACGAAGAGAGAGGAAGGGAGAGACAGAAACATCTGTCTGAGTTAACTGCTCCAACAACACTACCTGAATCTTTTTGGCGAGCAAATGACTGATTCCTCATCAGTTTAAATATTTACCACAAGTCAATGCAACACGGGCTTTGTGTTGTACCCAAAGGCCGCTGACACATTTCCTTTATTGGATAAACGCCTCAGCTCGCTGTCTTGCTGATGTTGCTGCAATGCATTACATTTTAACCCATATTC